TGCACTGCATTTATCCTCAAGCACATTTGTTGCTGAAATGCTGTCAGCCCTGGCAACTGGGGAAATTACATGAGCTTTCAAGATGTTAGAGGTAGGGGGTAGCCTTGGAGCATTGAGGGATCTGGATGAGAGATACTTTGCCAGGAGATGAATCCCCAAGGTCTCCCCAGCTGTCTGTGCTGAGTGAGTCCAACTTCCCCAAGATACAAGAGGTGGGGATGGGAAAACAGGTATTTTCCAGTGGACTAGGCAGAGCATTCCCCAAAGGACTGTGCAGACCAGGAAGAGCTTGTTCATGTGCTTATGTTTGCCAGAATCTGGATATGTGAAGAACACTACCTGTGATGTACTCCACTGATAGAGTAGATATAAAGGAAGAGAGCATTCCTTAGGATATTTCCTTTTACTTTTTGTCTCTCTGGACACATATCACACAGCGGTGATACCTGAGAAGTGGGCATCGAGTGATGGTGGTCTTCCCAACTCATGGAAGAACTGCTCCCCATGTGGAGGGATGGGAATTGTTGACAGAAGCAGAAGGACAGAGAATGAAGATTTCAGCTTTGGGGGCACCAATGGCAGTCACAGAGGCCACACTGACACAGTCATCAGTGTAGAAGAGGCCAGTTTCATGGCTTAGGTGGTCCTGGAGAAAAGTGCTGTGAGACTTAACTATCCCAGCAAGTATTTCATCCCTTGGGCTGTTCCACAGTACTCAGCCCTTGCTGGCCAAGCTGCAAGTTAGAAGTCATTTTCCAAAGCCTGGTCTTTTATATGGAGATCTGGACTGTGGTCTGAGCCATGTGTAGGGCCATAAATCAATTTTGGGCCATGAAACTGGTGGATTAACAGACCTGGGGGTGTCAAACTTGAGAGAGTTTTATGGGGAGCAAAGACGCAAAATGTCTCATTGATAGATGGCTCAAAACACTCTTCTTCATGCCAAGTTTTGTTCTCAGTCACGCTCCAAAAATGTCTGTTCTTTTGAACCTGGTGGATACTGTGCACTTAAAAGACAGAGAAATTAAAGAGGATGAATCTGCAGAGCATTTACAGCTAGTGAATACAAGTACATTGCCTTCCAGTGATATGGCAGGGAGCACCTCTGAAGGTTTTTAGAGGGGTTTTTTTAGCTTATTTCAGCCCAAAAGAAAAGGTTTCTGTTTCAGAAAACAAAGAGAAAGAGAAGAGGATGTTGGTGATACGGACACAAAGAGAGGGCGAATGTGGGAGATGTAGGTCCAAGACCTGAGGGAATTCAAACCCTTCTCTCATCTCTAGAAGCGTGTTCCCATCCCTGTGCTTCAGGTGAGCCTGGGGTCAGATGATCTTGTTTTTCTGATGAAGCTGTTACACCTCAGTTATATGCAAGCAGACAGGAGGGGAGACTGTGTTGGCTGTGCAAGGCTCAGGGGTGTTCAGTCCCTGCTGCACTGAGCTGTTCCCATGAGCTCCAGGACGTTTTCAGCAGCAAATTTTGAGAGGTTTCATAAGAGAGAGAAGCCGCCTTCTCAGATTGCATCCCCTTTCAGCTCAAAATTGTTCTATTACTAAACATACATCATTTAAGTGCTGATCAAAGAAACCCCCACGGCAGAGAAACATTATTGATTCCTTGTGCTGTACCTCACCCTGCTCATGGCCCTCACTAAGCCTACAAAGCCAGCATGCCCAGGGAATGTTACAGCACCGGTGTTTGCATGGGAAAGGTGTTTATTCATTCTTGGGCATGTAAAACACTTTTCTGCCTGGTGAATCATTACTGTGGGTTGCACATCCTGAGTGAGAAACTTTCTGCCAGGGCAGGAGGACATGGTGGGAGGAGGAGGAGAGGCATGGAACAGAGATTTGCCTTAACTGGTGAGGTCAGGTGGGATTTTTGGAAGCTCAGTGCCAGTTCTGGTTTGTGGTGCCTTTCAGCTGAGCCTGGTTTCAGCTTTACTGAAGGAAAGTGCTGAAGCTTCTCTGCAGAAGTACTCGGCAAGCAGCCTGTGCAGATCAGGAGATGTGGTGACAAGACACTTCCAGTGGCCTTAAAAAACCAAATATATCTGTCTTGTCTCCAAGGTATGCTAAAGTGAAGGGATGAATAGCTTTTCTAAGTGGACTGGATTTTGTCTCAGGCCCTGTTTGCAGTGTTCATATATAAGGACTCAGAGTACAGCTCTTGTGCAAAAACTTATTACCCTTTAATATTTTTTTTTATTTTTTTTTTTTGGTGCAGCACCAGGAATTCCTTGGAGAATTACCCAGGTTCCAGGCTACACTTTTGTAGTCATGATTGGGTTGTCTGTGGCTAAATTGCAAAAATTTGGCATGCTGCATTTTTTGTATTGTAGATGGGATTGTCCATGCACTGGTAGTGGTCCAGTGGTGTGCACATGTGTCTTTAACTCCTCTCAGGTCAGGCAGACACTTTTAGGTTTGACTTTTGGAAGATGTGATTCTCCTTTCCAATTTGCATATTTATTTCAGTATTATCTTTTCTCTGCTGTTAAAAAATTAAGTGGTGGTTCCTAGTATTTTCCTAAAGAAGAAGAAAAAGATCCTAGTGAGCAGCAGCCACCTTTGCCCTTAGTTCATTAATTGAAAGGGGGGGAGTATCACCTAGCAAGTGCAGACACTGGATGTTCTTTCACAGCAATACTGTTTTTTCCTAGTGCCTTAATTCTTTTTTAATGTTTGAGTCAGGAAAAGTTGCCAAAATGTAAATTATGACTAGCATACTTCTCCCTCCCACACAGTACAGATTACTGATAGCGGATACAGCTATCCCAGTTGCCTTGCAGACCTTCTTATTCTGCCTGTTGGTTTAACACACCTCAGCACTCTGTGTCCATCATTTTGTCTTCTCTTCCTGGAAAACTACAGACATGAGCATTTTTTTTTTGGTAGCGTTTACAGTTCAGGGAGAAAACACCAGCTAGAAATCATATGTTGCTTTAAATGTGGCTATGTGAGAGTTTGTATAGAAAGAACATGCTATCTAGAGTTGCTGTGTTATTTTCTTGTTTTAAATTGAATCTGTATTACTAAGCCTTGCTCATCATGAGTGTTGTAGTACTTTAGTTGCTCTGTCTCTGCTAGGGCAGCTGTGAGCTAAATATTTTATCAGAACTGGAGAAATTCTCAAAACCAGGCTTCTGCATGGATGCAAGTTACTCTTTGTGGTTGTGTTCTGTTGCTGTAAATTCTTTTGATGTCTGTAAAGTTTTGCCCCAGCTGGATATGCTATTTTCTCTGTCCCAGAGACTACAAGTAAAGGAAAAAAAGGAGCGAGAGCAGGAAAGAGATAAAGTGAATAAACAAGTTTTGCAATAAAGAGGTATTTTTAGCTGGATATTTCATATTGTTTCTCCTTGGTCAAACCTCTTCCATGGTTTGAGAGGGTTAGCAATGCAATTTATTCATTTTCTCCAAGGGAGAGGCTGCATTTAATATGTGCTCTCCAGGATACCCTGTTAAAATATTAGGCAATAAAATCCTTGACTGTACAGTAGTTGCAGTTATAATTTCCCCCAGGTAGTGGAAACTTTAATTTATTGTTGTGTAAGTTTTCCCTTTGTACAAATCAGAGTGGTTGTAGCAGTGTAAAAAGGCCTGTTTCTCTCCAAGCCCGTGTGTTTGTTGGTGACCCAGCTCCTCTCCTCGGCGAGCATCTCATTTCTGCCATTGCCTCATTCTCACCTCACAGATCACACTCCCACAGAGGAACTCACATTGTTCCCTCCTGTGATGTAAATTTTGTAACTCACTGCATAGAAACGTGAGTCCAGATACTGAGGAAGGCGCTCATGGTGTAGAATTAGTAGTGCAGGAACGTCTTTGCTGGGTTCTTATCTGTCTAGAGTCTAAAATGCAAAAAATTCAGCAAACTGTGTGTTACTAGAGATTATATCCTCAGCTTGTGCATCGAAAAAAAAAGTCTGAAAACGTAAGAAACCAATCCCTGGGGAAGGCTGTGAAAGTGGCTTTGCAGAACCTGAATGTGAAGGGTGAGAACGTGAATACTTCCATTCAAGTGGCATCAAATACCTCCACGATCCCCACCCGTGCACACACAGCCGGTGGCACAGAGCCACTGGGAGGTGGCTGTGATCTGGACCCCTGTCCCAGCTGGTTGTGATGCCCTTTAAAAGCATTCATTTCTTTGCATCCTTGGTGAGGGCAGCCAGATCCCTGAGTGGCTGGAGCCAGCCAGGTACCAGGCTGTAGGAGGGGGTGGTGGTGTTCACCATGGGGAGCTGTAAAGCAGTTCTTCCTGGGGATGCTGCCACACTGCTTTCCTCAGCACCAGCTTTTCCCTCTTTCCATGGTTCTGGTCTCTGATCTTGTCTAAGCAGGCTCACCCTCTCAGGATATGTTAAACAATCCTTGTTAAACCAGCATAGATACTTGGGGATAATTTGTTAGGGATGTGGCAACTGGAGGAACTTGTGCTTTATGTTAACCTGTGTAGGCAAAGTTAGGGGGTGGGAAGGGGAAAGGCAGACATTTCCCCTTTGCCTTTTTTCTTTGGTTGGAAGGAATGATTTTGCTTGAGATGATTTTTTTTTTTTTTTAAATTAAACCTCTGAGAAGTCATATTGCATCTTCCAAACAAACTGCTGAACTCAACTGCTTTTACAAAACGCATGCAAAATTTTCCCCTCAGGATCCTTAGAGGCCCTGGAGTGCCTGCCTTGCAAAACCTGGGGCAGTGAACAGAGTCACTCCAGAGTGATTTCTGTAGGATACCTTTAGACAGCGTGCTTATGTGTATTTATAAATATAGATATACACATTTAACACATAAAATTCTCTTTTGTTATGTTTCTGCATGCAGCAAGCAGAAGGAAAAAATAACGCAGAGCCAAGGTATCCAAAGAGCTGCTGCCAAGCTGTTAAACTCTGAGAAAGAAAAAACAAAGCCCTCTAAGAGGCACAGAGACAAGCAGTTTTTATCATCAGCTTTCTCTTGCCACTGAATACACGTGGTGATTTCTCTGTGATCGTTTCAGATGCCTCAGGAACAGTACGCGCACCGGAGCACCATGCAGACCTCGGAAGGACCCCAGGTATACAAAGTGGGGATTTATGGCTGGAGGAAGAGATGCCTCTATTTCTTTGTGCTGCTCCTAATGATTTTAATCCTGGTGAACCTTGCTATGACCATCTGGATTCTGAAGGTTATGAACTTCACAATTGTAAGTAGGGGTTACCCTGAAAGGTCTGGGGACGATGAGGGGGGGTGATGGTCTTTTCTCTGAGCATGACTTCAGACACAGCTTCCATAATGGGATGTTTAGTAGCCATGGATAATCCTTAATTACAGCGAAGAGCAAATTTACCCAGTGATCCTCTCTTTCTGCTGGAGATGTCTGTGGTATTGCCAAGCTGAGGAATCAGTTTAGCATTGAATGTCACATTCCTCTTACTTGCTATATATGTGTATATACCTGTATATATGTAAACAGTACACCAACCCTGCGCTAAATTTCAATTCTAAAATGTTTTCAAAATATTGAAATTGGTTGTTTTGAACTGGGATGTGGAAACCAGGATGGGTTTGAGCCTTTCTCTTGGACTTTTCCTGCTTTTCTCCATGACTGGGAAGGCGAGAAACTGGATTTGCTTTTTGGGGAGGGGAAATTCATGCTGTTTCGTAATGATGTGCTTCTGGAAGCTTCATGGAGAAAAATAAAATTCACAGAGTAGCTCCCTAGGTGTGGTACTTAGGTGGAGCATGTCCTTGTCCTTGTCTTGCTGTGCTCGGTGCACATCAGTCCTGCCAGCAGCTCTCCCTTGCTACCTCCTGCTCCTTGGCCAGGGTTAGCCTTCCAGAAGTTCCTAGTAAAATCTTGGGCAACTGTACTGGGAGGTAGATTGCAGTGGGGCAGATGTTGCCTTCCGGGCCCAAAGCACTCTGATCATCACTTAAAGTCTGTTCAAACTCCTTTTGAGATCTCAAGAGGTGCCTTGACCTTGAATTGTCTTCTTACGGAGTGAGCTTTACCTCTCCTGCTCACACATACTAAAAGTCAGGACATGATGAACCAGGCACATCCCACTTCCAGGGCTTGTGAACCTTCATATATGACTAGCCTTAGTTTTTCAGATGATTTTGGCCAAGGAGTGTGAAAATGAAATGATTGGTCCCTTCTTCAAAGCAGTCATTGCCACCTTGTCTGGATGGGGATATTTTAAGATCATTTGAGTCTTCAGGAGAAACTAAACTTTCAGCTTTAATCCTGGATTTAATTCATGCAAGAGCTCTAAGGCTGAATTCCCCCAGACAACTTCCAAGGACCTTCCCAGTCAGGCTCTGGTACGAGCAGCATGTTTGGAATCTCACAGCATTTCCTTCTCTGCCTTGGTCTTGTGCAGTCCTGAGCAGCTGTGTCCAACATTATGTCATTAATGGGCCATGAGAAGTTGAATAAACAATCTCTGGTTTACTGTATCCAGCAAATAAAATGCTGTGTCAGGGGAACATGTAGCACTTATTTTCTGTAACCAGGAAGCTGTCAAGGTGTGCAGAAAATTGCAAAGCATGTGTACTTAGGGAGCAAGCAATTATAAAGCAGTAATACACAAAAAGCTCCTGTGAGTGGGCAAAGAGTGACCAAACTGGAGCAATTAATACTTAACCAAACCAGTTATTTAATCTTGTGTAATTGATTTTGATAGCCATTTCATGCTGAACTGTGGTCTTTAGATTCATGTATTTGACAAATAGGTGTTTCTGAGGTGATGGAAGAGTTGGTCATATGCCTATCATACAGGAGTGGTGTGGGTATCAACCCAAGAACAAAATAACAGAATTTCAAGTTATGACTTTTCAGGAATACAACTTTATCTCTTTGTACTAATGTAACTTCAGTATGTCAGTCCTGTGCTTTTTTGCTATTTGTTGGTGGTCAGTCAACTCTGTACAGGTTGCTTGGGAAGTCAGGTGAACTTGGCTGCTGTGTTCTCCCTCACTGCCCTCTCGTGATGTGTTGCATTTTGCAGGCCATGTGCTGAGGTGCCATCTCCCAGGGACGTGTACAGAGATCTCCCACTTCCAGCAGCTCTCTCCACCCCACTAGGATTTATACTGGCTTTTGAGGGAATGCACTGATCTTCAATTTCTTGTCTGATTCTGTTTTCTTACTTGTCCTCTGATTACTGGGGATTATTCCAGGGTAAAGGATATTTGTATATGGTTTTAGTTAATTCCTGTCTACTGATGTTGGTAGGTGATGGCATTTGGTGATAAAACACAGACAGTCATGCTGAGTCCTGCAGTGGGAACAGCTTTATGGCTGTAGGCAAGGCCACACTAGTCAGGGTGCATGTCTCTGACACAGCCAATTGGAAATAAATACAAGAACTGGGCATGTAAAATGTGATCCTTGCCCCAGTATGCACCCATTCATCTCCTGATCTCCTGCTGCTCCTGCAGCTTCGCCAGCTGCTTTGGATCCTGCTCTGCAATCCGTCCCGCACCATTCCCTGAGGCTGAGAAAACCACTTTGCTAAGTGAATTTTTAGAGGCAGACTTTTATCTCTAAGTAACAAATGTAGCAGAATTATCAAATGAGCAGATGCAAATATGGAAAAATCTTTAATTTGTTCCTGTTCTGATAAGAGGAGCTGAGAGTCCTTCTGGGACAGGGAAATGATCTGAGTAGTCAGTAAGCAATAGCTGCTGCTTAATAGGTCTGAGTTACTCCAGTGCTTGCAGAGCAAAAAGAAGGGGAAAATTTGTGTTTCTATTCTTCTGGAAAATGCAGTGTTTCCAGTATCCTCCCACCTCTCCTTCCAGAATCTGAGTCTGTTCAACTCCACAGAACAGTCCTGGCACTTACTAGAATTTAATAATGCTCATTATGGCCAATAAGTGCTCACAGTGTTTTAATGAGCACAGCAAACCTGCTCAAGAAAACTCGGGGGTGTTTTAAATGGTGATAGTGGGGAGTAGGGAAGGGGGGAGGAGATGAAGCAAGACAATCTCAGGAAAAAAAACAAACCTTCTCGTTCATGTTGTAGCAGTATCCATCCACTCCACTTCCCGGTCCAGCCCTGACCTCCCTTTCTCTCTTCTACACATGCACTGCTGGCTTGTGGTTCAGGAGACAACTCCTGTGAAATCAAGCTATAAGCTTCCAATCAGTGGCTTTTAACGAGCAAGACATCACTATTTGTTCTAGGTTTTGCTTTTATCTGAACGTTTAAGGCTTAAACAAATTTATGTGTGGCTGTTGCCTTTTACACGGGGCTGTCAAGGCAGTGTCACCCTTGCATGGGGACAGCTGGTCACTCTCCACTTTGTCCTCTGGCACCATCATTCATTTCTACTGTAGTATTTGATACTCAAGTTTTAAATGCCTTTATCAGGCTCAGGCCATATGAAAGACAGGCCTAGATGGGACCTCAAATGTCATCTGCCTGTCCTACAGCTGGTTCCCAGACACAGTTCCATTTACCCTGTTCATTTACATCTTGGCTATGCTGCTCTGGGACTGTGGGAAGCTCTGGGAATGCTGCTGCCTCTGAACCTTGCTTGGATTTTTAAGCCAAACCGCAGAATGAATCTGGGTTAAAGCCACCAATTTGGGTTGAAACCTAAATGTACCTCAAAGGTGGCCTAACCTAATTGAGGTAGAAACCACCATCCAGCACTCAACTTTATGATGATATATTGGTACAGAGTCTTTGACAAGCCTGGTAGTACTGCATGGTTTGCATGTTTTGGGGTTGGGGAGAACATGTTAATGCCTGTGGGCTGTGTGTGGGACTGAGGCACTAAATCTGAAGGCTGTGGCTGTGTCCTGCTGTCTCAGTGGTGTGGTGGAGGGCTCAGCCTCCAGCTCTGTCAACCTCCACCTGTGGTGGGGTCAACCTTGAGCTCCACAGAGCTCAGCTGAGGTGGGCACAGCCCCTGCAAGGGGTCTTATGTGCCAACATACTTTTAAGGCTTGAACCAGAGCTCTTAAAACCCTTCCTCTTTATCGTGATGTAGCTCTTTAGCAGCAGGATTGCCCATGACTGTGCATATTAGCACATGCATATTTTATGCTGCCCACCGATGATGTGCTGGGGATCTCTGTCTCAGCTATTACTTGTGAGCTTAAAACATTTTTTGAAAGCTTCCTCTTGTATTAGCTTCTGAATATCACAAGAAAAGATGTGCTTACACAAACACAGCAAACCAATATCCTTATTTTAAGCAGTACAAGGCTAGAAAGCTCAGATAATGGGCAATGACAGTGCATTGACCTGTTTCCACAAGGGTAGCACACGATGCTTGGTATTTTAAATGGTGTTAGGAGTCTGAAGCACTATCCATTAGTACTCCTTTATAGTTTGTTAGGCAGCAGGCAGAGCTCTAAACAGGAGGGATGAGAACTGTGTCCTGTTGTGGCTGTATTTAAATGTCAAACACCCACCTACTTGTCTACTGATCAAACCACCTCAGACCCTTTGCTTTTCCTTTGCCCTTCGCTGCTGTTTCTATCCGATAGCTCCTGTTAGTGCGTTTTGGATTGTATTGTTTTGGGACAGAAGCTGTTTGCATATGGCATCCTGTAGCCCTATATAGTGGCAGGTTCTACTAGACTGTAAACTGTAATAAGTGGAAAAATAAAATTTCCCCCTAATCAGCCTGCAAGGCTTGAAATTCCTGGAGAACTGTCTCCTAAGGATCATATAAAGTGAAGGCTTCAGGTTAGTTTTCATAATGAAAATATTCTGCGACTTGGTATTCAAGGAGTCCCTTCGTGAACCAAACTTAACATACTCCTCCAGACTGGGAGAGCACCATGCCTGGGAGCATTTATAAGGCATGTAAATGTGGCACTTATGGACAGGGTGGACTTGGCAGTGCTGGGGTAACAGTTGGACTCAATGATCTTAGAGGGCTTTACTGACCTAAATGATGCTATAACTCTATGTGCTGCTTCCAGGTCTGTGCAAGTCTGTGCCGACTGCTTGTGCCATCTGTGTGTGTGTGTGTGTGTTCAAGGAAATGCAGAGTGGAAATGGGCAGGCAGTGACACCCCCCCCACCCCATTCCACTTTCCTTTGGGTGCAGAGAGGGGAATTTTTTCCCCCTGGCCCAGTCAGGCTGAGGCTGGAGAGTCCCAAACCACAGCATTGTGTTCTCCTTCCATAACCACATGAGGTTTTTTTGAAGGTTTACACAGTTTACCATGAGGCTGAG